AGCGACTCCAAGGCACCATTCAAAGCTCCATACCGACTCTCACCTCAAGATCGAGCCGAGCTCAAGACGCAGATTAATGAACTACTCCGGCAAAAGTTAATATTTCCGGTTGCGTCTCCTTATGGAGCCCCAGTGCTTTTTGTTAAGAAGAAGGACGGAACGAAACGGCTCTGTGTGGATTACCGAGGCTTAAATGAGATAACTATCAAGTCAAGATTTCCACTACCAAGAATAGATGACCTACTCGACCTCATCAAGAACGCCAAAATATTTTCCAAGCTTGATTTGGTTTCCGGTTATCATCAAATCGCCATCAGCCCAGCTGATCGGCACAAAACCGCCATGGTCACGCCGTTTGGCCAATACGGTTGGAATTGTATGCCGTTTGGCCTCACGAATGCTCCTGCCACGTTCCAACTGGCTATGAATGAATTACTTTTACCGCTTGAAGAATTTTGCGTCGTCTACTTAGACGACGTATTGATTTTCAGCACAAGTGAGGCCGAGCATCGTAAGCATATTGATGTTGTGATATCTACCCTCCAAAAAGCTGGTTTAATTATTAGCAAACGCAAATCAGAATTCTTTTTGGCTAAAGTCTCGTTCCTTGGTTACCAGATCGATGCCGCCGGTGTTCATGTGGAGCCTGGGAAAATTGAAGCTATCCAACGATTTACGGTATCCACCCCGGAAGAAGCTCATTCTTTTATAGGATTAGCCAGTTATTACCGCCGTTTTATTGAGCACTTTGCCGAATTAGCCCGCCCTGTCCATCAATATGTCAACGGGAAGATAGAATACAGTGACGAGGTAAAGAACGCGGTTGGCGAGTTAAAGCGGAAATTGATTTCTGCTCCGGTCCTTATGAATTTCGACAGTACCAAGCCACTCCGAGTCACAACCGACGCCTCTGGTTTTACTTTAGGCGCCGTGTTGGAACATGTGGCCCCGAATGGAAAAACAGAGGGTGTGGTGGCCTACTTTTCGAAGGGCCTTATCGGGGCTCAACTTAGGTACCCAGTCAGGGAGAAGGAACTTTTAGCCATCATTGAGTCATTGAAGAAGTGGCGTCACTACCTCGTCGCTCCATTTGAAGTGGTAACTGACCATCATTCCCTCACCTACCTCAATTCCGCCAAGAATGAAGGCAATCAAAGATTGCTCAGATGGCAAGATTTCATTGCGGACTTTAACTTTACGGTGAAATACCGTCCCGGAGTTACCAATAAAGCTGCTGATGCTTTATCGCGAATGAAAATCAATGCCATGACTATTGACTCGGTTGGTGAAGACGAATATAAGGCTGATGCTTATTTTTCCGAAGTATGGAAGGTCCTTGACGGGGAATTGGAGTGTCCGAAAGAACTAAAATCCATTATTCAACGGTATCAGTTTGCTGAGTTGGCAGGACGCCGACAAATCATTTACCAAATGACTCCGATTGACAAACCCCGGCTTTGTGTGCCTGGAGGGAAAACCAGATACCGGTTATTGCAAGGCGTCCACACGGCCGAGGCTGCGCTTCATATGGGTACGACCAAGATGCTATATCAGTTACAGGAGAGTGGGTTCTACTGGCCTAAGATGCTTAAGACTATTGCCCTGTTTGTCAAGAAGTGTGATATTTGTACGAAGGTAAAACCCACGAATAGACGCCCGGAGGGAATGCTACAAACCCCAACGATTCCTGCCCAGAGATGGTCTAACCTTACTATGGATTTTATAACAGGTTTTACTCCGAGCCGCGGTTTCGATTCAATATTCGTGGTGGTGGATAGACTTACCAAAAGAGCAGTGTTCGTGCCTCATAAGAAAACCGATGATGCCGAAGCGGTTGCTAATTTATTTATGGATTATGTTGTCCGAGACCATGGCCTTCCAATGTCCATCATTTCTGATCGAGACCCACTCTTCATCAGTCACATGTGGAAGACCCTTACCAAAATGTTAGGTGTTTCCCAGGATCTCTCCACCTCTGGCCACCCCGAGACAGATGGCCAGACCGAACGACTCAACAGGGTATTGGTTCAATTGATGAGAACGTTGGCTGCTTCTCACGCGATTGAATGGGCTAAGTACTTGGGCATGGCACAGTTTGCCTACAACTCTCAGTACCAACTGGCTATTAGAACCACACCGTTTTTTGCTGATTTGGGCTATCATCCAAGATATTGGCAAATCATTCATGATATTCCATTGGCCACCGCGATTGGTGATGACTCTATGATTGGGGGGTACGAATTTGTTCATCGGCAAGAAAGGATCTTGGAATCAATTCAAGTACAATTAGCCGATACTCAAAAGGAGACAACAGCGAAGGTGAATAGAAAACGCTCCGACGTGGAATATAAGGAAGGAGAATATGTGTTATTACACCGCCACGCGTTCAGAACAGCCCGAACTAGCAAGCAAAAGTTCTTACCGCCATTCCAAGGTCCGTATAAAATCGTCAAGGTACTAAATAACACCGCCTTCCAAATCCAAGTCTCAAGCAGGAAGATAATTACTGCCAATATACAATGGGTGAGGAAATATCACGCTATCCACATGATACTACCAGAAGTGGAAAGCGACCCGTGGTACAAGGAAAACATATCGGAAATCCAAATGATTGTTGATCTCGAAAAGGACTACGCCCTTGTCATGTACCCAGGGAAGGCAGACCCAGTGCCTGTCCCCGAAACTTGGATCCGTTTAATTCCTCATGAGAAACGGATTACACTCCTCGACGAGCTTGATGACTTTTTGGCTAACAATAATGATCGAGACGACTCATTCTCCGAGGGGGGATAATGTTATATTATTGGATCATGGTTGGGTTGAGTCCTGGTTACCAACGGTATGGTACCATACGAAACCATGATCTGCATTACCTCATCGAGGTATCACTTTATGTCCCACCGCTTATCTCTTATCCTTGTCGTATCGCCTTATGTTTAGCCTTTTATTCCCAGAACGGGTCCAACACCCCATTATTAGTTTCAATCATTTTATTTATTTAAGGATTCAACATTCCTCTTGTTTTCACCTTTATTTAGTTTAAGAGAAGGATCATCTTTGTGATCACCTAATTTGAATCTTCTTGGTCGAGAACAATCATCGACAAGAAGCAGAGTGTAACAATTATATTGTAGTGTGGTTTGAGCTATTGGTTATAGGCGACGAGACACGTGCTCATAACCTGCGCTGGGTGGCGTAGTGGGCAGAACCATAGACTAAGAAAGGGTCGCGTGTTCGAACCCCGCTCGCGGCATTAACCACCAGGTCACGCTCAGTACGCTAACTGAGTAAGGAGTAATACCACTCTGAAGGTAAGATACAAGGGGGTTTTAGTGAGTAAAAATCTCACACTACCGGTAAGGTTGCGTCGCTGGTGTCTTTCGAAGATTTCCTCCTCCCTGGCTAAAAAAAAAATAGTGACAGGTTGCTACAAGTCAAAAACATTGCATTTTCCAACCCAAACTCCCGGGTTACCAAAAATATTGGGAGAAAACGGATACCAAATAAGTCGCCATAGCTGCGCATAATTGATCATAATAACCGTACATAAAAAGTGCGATGACCTATATAGCTCTTAGTAGTTAAATATAGGGACTTTATAAAAAAAAAAAAAAAAAGCTCATAACCGTTAATTCACTAGTGACTTCATCTCATATTTTCACAATGCACCTTTTTTCCTTAATAATCTTGATTGTTGAGTTTTTTACCGGTGATGTGATTAATTCTTAAAGCAAGGAGTGTGAGGTTGTGAGAAAGTTATAGTATTATACTTATCTATTAGAAAGACCGGCATGAAATGCCCGGCTTGCATGTTATTTAGAACCTCTGTGACTCGTTAATATACAATTCATTCACTCATTCATAACCACAAGCTCATAACCATTCGTATATAATTATAGTCGTCGACTATGAAAAGTTTTCAATTTATATGATCTCTGGTTCTTCAGAGAGTAACTACTAAGTCGATCCTGACCGGTGACCAACTACATCTAGCCTAGTCGCATCGTAATATAACAGATTAATCTATTTTTGATAAACACACAGCAACTTGTCTCTCTGATTATCGTAAAAAATTTACTCAAAATATACAAATATCGTATAGGTTATCCTTAATAGGAATGCTTTAAAATTATTGTCGGTAGTTACCGCTGTTGTGGTATATATACTTTAAATAAAGTAATGATACATTTTAAAATTTCTTAATATGCCACTTTCTATGTTAATGATGGGTCACCACTGATAGTATTACTGACGTTAGCTCTTTTTTTTGTGGCTTCCATTTCTCAAGGGACTACTTGCTACTTAGAATTCTTCTAATCATGTCTCTTAGTTTACTATGTAGGAATTAATCAACCAAGTTAAAACCTGAGTATAGTACCTCAAAAAATTGATGGATTTGGATTAATCACGTAAAAATTAGGCAAGCGATCAACATGATTGTAGTATAATGAGCAGAGAAGAGTATGACAAAATTATTTTAACAAGACTACATCAATGAAATTAGTTCAAAATGAATGATTATAGACGGACGCCCTTTCGGGATAATTCAAGGTCATATTTTATTATTTATAAGCTAGAAATCCAATAAAGACTTCACACATGCATAGATATTAATGGCTTACTTACAAAAAAAAACAAAAAAACAAGGAAAAATCTAAGCTATTATAGAAAGAATTAAAAAAAAAATTAAAAAATTAAAAACTATGAACAAGAAAATAGAAAATGTGAACGATAAACAATAAACAAAAAAAAAAAAAAAAAACTGAAGGGATGGTATTTTTGAAAAATTAAGCAGTGTTCAATGTAGCTTGAAAATGAATTGGAGAAAATAGAATATGTGTATATGGAGGGGAAGATAAATAGGAAGCTTTACCCTTGTAACAAAGCATTTGTATTGTAAATATATATCTTGTGACAGAGAACACAGAGTTTGAAAATTTTGAAAAAAAAAAAAAAGCAATCAAACCTCAAGAGCAACTTTAATATAATTAATGCAAGCTCTATTGAGTTGTGCAGTTGCCTTCTTCAGTGAAGTCGTTTTGGCGTCCTTTAAAGCCACCGCCATTGGTATAACCAAACCCCTCTTCACTCTCTGTCTCTGCATTTTTTGGTAATATGGTTTCACTAATAATTTGATAATCAGCATCATTGATGTCGTTAAATGGGACGTCAAAGGATTTAGGCTTCTGAAATTGAGACTCTGGTAGAGAAGCTTTCAATCTATCAATATCCGTCGAATCCACGCACCAGCCATCTCTTGGAAATTCAACAACAACTTTTAAATACAAATCACCTCTAAGGTCAGAGTTTAAAATCGGCATACCTTGGCCCCACACTTTGACATAGTCATTTGGTCTAAGAACTTTTCCTTTAGGTATACTGAGCTTAATTCCTGTACCATCAAGATGTTTCATGACAATTCTAGAAAGCCCACAAAGAGACTCTATTAAGGAGACATTCAAGTTGGCGTATAAATCATTGTCTTTTCTTTCAAATATTGGATGATCAGTTTGAACAAATGTGAGAATGACATCTCCCGCCTTTTTATTAGGAGCCTCGTCTGATTCCCCTTCTAGCGTCACCGAGTCTCCAGATTTTGAGCCTTTTGGAATATTGAATTCTAAAATCTTTTTCTCTTCGGTCAATCCTGAACCATCACACTTCTTGCACTTATCCTTTGATCTAAATACTTTACCAGTAGCTCCACAGTTCTTACATTCTGTGTAATCGGTGGTGACCATACCTGGGCCAACTCTTCTCAACTTTCTAGTAAAACCTTCACCTTTACAAACTGCACAATTCTTTGGCACTGCATTAGGTTTTGATCCTGTACCATGGCAGATTCGACAAAGAATGTCTCTCGTGGAGTTTATCTTGACTACCTTTCCTTTGAACAAATCCTGTAGTGTTACATTGACATTTAAGTGTGCATCTTCTGTCTTTCCCTGTTGATAATGACTGCCATGACGACGTCCATGAGCATTACGAGATCCATTGGTGTGACCTGCACCACCAGCACCACCACCGCCCATATTCATTTCGTTAAAGAAATCAAAGAAATCCTGAGCACTATAATCGTTTTCGCCGCCAAAGCCAAAATCGGGCATACCCCCGTTGACTCCGCCAGCGTCATAGTCATTACGTTTCACTTCATCTGATAGCACTTCATAAGCTGCAGTGATTTCTTTGAATTTTTCTGCTGCCTTCTCATCGGGATTCTTATCGGGATGGTATTTGAGAGCCGCTTTTCTATAGGCCTTCTTGATTTCGATGTTAGTGGCAGTCTTTTCTACCCCAAGTATCTCATAATAATCAACTTCAACCGACACTGAAAAAAGAGAAAGTTAGTAAACAGATAACTCTAATAAACAATTGATATGTCTAATACATTCAGAACATGAATGCTTACTTTTTCTTTGGAAGCACAGGTTTCCAAATTGTGGTAATAGGGTATTACCCTTTGTGCAATGAAATGTTTTCCCTCAGTTTTTTTTTTCTTCTTTTCTTTCCTTCCTGTGCCGTTTTCTGATTTCCTCGACCCGCGGAACTGGTACTGTTTATCTGTCACGTTTTTGTAGCTGTTTTTTTTATATGTATTTTGTATTCGTTTTTATCGTATAATAATGTGATTGATATCCAACATCATCATCATTCCCAGATCATAAAGACAGAGTGAAGAAAGAGAGAGAATAAAGATGAGTGGAAACCAAGAGCCAACAAATCCTCGCCATTATTCCAGACAGACCCAGAAAAGGGTACGTCATCGCTCATATTCTGCTTCGGAAGCAAGTGATAGAGACAACCACACACTAGCCCTGGGGTTCGCCGATAACAACGATAACACCAGCAATAATGGATCAGGAAATCATGGCCACTCAAGAGATAGGCTTGGCCGTTTTGGCTGGGTGCGTCGATTCATGCAATCTAACAAGCTGAATAATGGGCATGGTGCTAGCAACAAAAATAAAGGAAATTTACAATTACAAGATGGCTGTTACAACGATTACTCATCAGAGCTCGCCTCCTACGACCAACACAATAACAACAGCTTTTTATCTAGCAGCAATATCTCTTATTCAGGAAATCAGAATGATAATGTTTCAATGAAGCCTATAATTTCCAGGTCAAACTCCTCAAAGCTCACAAGACGGATCACCAATTCCAGTAGTATTACTACCATTAACAATAACAATACTGCCCTAAACAATAATAACAATAGTAGCAGTAATGATCATAATACCCTAGGTGGTATATTAAGCCCGCAAACTGACCAGTATGCGATTAGTCTACATAGTGGTAACTCTCAAGTGAATTCGCAAAGCAACAGTCTCTATGTCAATAACCCAAGAAATGGTTATGCGTTGGATGTTTATTCACTCAATGAGAACCAATCCACTTCTTCAATCGCTATGGATGGCAAATCCCCCCTCAATGAGTATAATAATGATAATGATAATCACTATGAAGCGTCAACGAGACAATCTACAAAATCCTGTTTCCCAGCATCGGTATTCGATAAGGAGACCGTAATGTCTATGCCAGCAACCATGGAGACTTCTGTTGCTTCCCTGTCCTTTTTTCCTGTACCAGCTACCCCTAACTATACATATGGTAATTCAAACCAAGGAGGGTTTTCAACTCTCACTATGAATGCGGGAAACTCAGCAAATTATACCCGTTCAATCGCAACATCAACCCTTAATAATAATGATTCATCATCTGTAATCACTTTGGCATCAAGCTCACGCAATGTTTTGAATCGCTCGAAAAGTTCTAGAAGGTCCGTTGAAACTTTCAGCTCAAGCACTATAGGTATTCCTCCAAGCAGTATTTTTGAAAGATTGAACTATGGTCATCCAGGTGTGAGTGCGACAAACCCAGGTCTTTCAACACGAACAAGTGTGAACATCGAAGATAGTTCTAATGGTATAGAAGAAGATGTGCCGGTAACTGACGATGGCGAACTGGAAAATGATGATCTTTACAGTTTAAACAATTCATTGCGAACTCACTATTCCTCTCACAATAACAATTATCGCCTGGGGAATGACAATAACAGCTTCATGAGTCACAAAACTGAGAGATTCAGTTCAAGAAGTGTTAATAGTGCCAATGAGTAGTTAGAACGTCTTGGAGCCCTTAGGAGTATTTCTTATCCTTCTTTTTTTTCTAATTCTTTTTTCCACGAAGGAGAATTATTAATGGGCTAGCAGTTTATTTATTTTTTACCTTATTTTTCATTGACTTTTTTCTTCTTTCTTGGTTTCGTTAAATAGGTTCTTTGGTTGGGGGAATTACAAAATATTTTAGAATTATTTATATAACCAGGGATCCGCCACACCGGCTCCTTTCTGTCAAATAATTCTTTTTTACGTCCATGTGACTATTTTGATCATGTGATAAGAGGGTGAGTAAAAAATGAGAAAAAGAGAAAAATTTTGATGATGATTTGATAGCATATTTGGAAGAGTTAGCGTAACCAATACAATAATAAATAACGAGAGAAATGGCTCATAGAATTTTAGTGAATGTGATTTTCACCGGTGCCAAAGTTTTTGGTACTGCTTTTTCTGAAGCATACAAACAAGCCGCTAGCGCCGGTGCTCGACAGTCGGCCTCTGCTGCTGCGAAAGCCGCCGCCGCTTCTGCCAATGGGGGGATCCAACTTGATGAAGCTTGCAAGATTTTGGATCTTGACATGAAGAAGGATGGGTTGAGCGAGTCCAACATTAACGAAAAATATGACTACTTATTCAATGTCAACAACAAGGAAAAAGGTGGCAGTTTTTATGTCCAGAGCAAAGTGTATTATGCTAAAGAAAGGCTTTTGGGAGAAATAAATTATCGACAAGAGTTGAAAAAGGAGACCGAAAACCAGTGAAATGAAATGTGATTTTGATATGTGTTTGTGTATGTCTTTGTCGATATGTGTCAGTGACTATGAGAGTCGTTTGTTTTTTATATTTGTTTTTTTTTTTCACTTGTCAAACAGCAGGTATAATTCGAAAAACTCTGTAAAGAGAGAGAGAGTGAGAGTGAGATAGAGACAGTTACGAAAAATTGAATGATAGCACAAACACATGAAAATATCTTAGTTATTTGAATAGTCGAGAATGCTTTGAAGTGCTTGGTTATGACTTGTACTAATGGTCAAACGAGGGGAATGATTGGTTGTATTTTGTTGAGAGAGAAATTGTATATATTGCGTGTGAGCTGTTTAGCTTGCATGAAAAACCAACTTAATAGAAAGATTCTTGATGATATCTGCTGAAGGAAGTTGGATTGTACTTACGAAATCTTAAGAGAAAAATACATATTGTTGGATATGTATATTGTTTTATGTCTAATATTGAACTAGACCTAATTTGTAGTGACTTGCCTGAGGACTTTGCAAATTTAGTTTCTTTAAATGCGGCTAGATATATGTAGTAGGGTTGCTACTTAACTCTGGCATGCTTCTTTTTTCCGTTTGTAGATCACTAAAAAATCGTTTGTTTCTGTTGAAGAGTGAAATATTAAGAATGTGACTGAGTTGGTGAAAGAAAAAGAAAAGAAAAGAAAAAAGGAAGTGGTTGCTACATAAAGGAAAAGTGATGTGTTTTCCATACTGCTCATGTTACTGTTATATAATATATCATAAATAGTTTGGCTGCAGAAGCAATCTCTCTGAAGTTATGAGCGTATATATCTAAGTATATATCTAAAGCCCTTCTCCAATCTATTCTATCGATCATATACTTCACTTTACAACTCATGAGGCCTTTGCTACCTTTTAGCTATCCCGCAATGTATCCAATCCCCAAATTGCGTGTACAAACATAAGTGCCGACAACAATCAACAATCATCCGCTTTTTTTTTTTTTTTCCTTTTCGTATATATCAATTTTTTGTTCTTGCAAGACTACTCCTAATCTTGGTGGGTGTATAGGATGAAATAAAAGATAAAACATGGGGTAATTTCTGGAACGAGTTGAACAACACGCTGAACAAGTTACGAGATTAAATTGTATATAGCCATATGTATCGTGCAAAATTGCGCGTGAAACCAAACAAGAAAAAGAAAAAGTGGGTGTATACATTTTTTCCATTTCCGTATTCCCATTTAAAGTTATCTTCCGATTGTGATCTTTTCTTTTGTTTCTTCGCCACAAACGGTTAATTAAAATACCATGATCAAAAAAAAAAAAAAAAAAAAGACCTCTGAGAAATGTCTATTGTTGTTCTTCGGATGTCAGCAGAACTAGAATTTTTATTGAAATTGACCTAAACTTCAAAAAAATATTTACGAGCAAGCATTCGGGGGTTCCAATATAAACCCAAACCTCACGCGACATTATGGTTTCGGTTACTATTAAATATCATATGTAATTTAGTGTCGTCACAGATGAAATGAAAAAAAAAAAAAATTACAAGAAATTGTTAAATATATCTCAAAATGCTAATTGTTTAGGGATTTAGTCAAAGCGAATACGAAAACTGATCATTTATGATGTTTTTCTGATTATCTGTCGTCTATTGTTGGCTCTTTTAGGGGATAATTAATGCGAGACAGCCGTTGAGATACTAATCTTATTGTGGACAAAGCTACTTGAAAAAAAAGCTTTATTAAAACATTATCTGTTCTATTGTTTATTTTTCCGTTTATTGGGAAATTTTATGATCCCCAAGTAACAGTGGTGTCGATGAAAACCACGATTACGTACCCCCTGATATTACAAAAGAAATATCAATGTAAAAAAGAATACATAACAACCGCCGTCATTTGACTCTTATCTATTGAAACCCCTCTCTTCGGTGCAAATAGTCTGTGTAGAGTAACTGGTCCAATAACGTTCTTCAATATTGGCACCGTTTACGGTGGGTCGAATTTGACAAGTTGGCTCCCTAATTAGTGACAAGCAGGAAAAAAAAAAAGAAACAACAAACTATGCATGGTTGAAAGGTCACTTCAAGACGGGTTTTTTAGCGTGACATTGAAAAAAGAAAAAAAAAGTGTTTAAAGTTATTTATTTTTACCGGAAAATGATAATTTTGAGAACCTTTGCTTTCGCAATCATTTGATATTTTCTCCTATTTTGTTTTCTCCGTATTCAGCTTCTGTGTGTTCAATTTCTCATTTATTTGGATATACCATGTAACAACCTATTTGGTCACAACTGTCATTAGTTCAGCATCATGGAGTTCTATAATACTAATTATGGATGTCCTTAACTGTTGTGTTGAAACCACCGTAGTCTTGACAACGTGGTGGCATTATTATTTAGGCATTTTTTTAATCCTTGCAGTTTTGGGGTCGTAACAAAATAGGTCACACTGGTTGATATGAGTAGCAAAGGTGCTAGTTTACACACTAAGCCCAACAAAAGTAAATGCACTTGGGAATGTAGTTTATGAGGTAATGCTGACAGGATTGATTGGACTTACAAACGAATTATAATACAACACACACCGGGAAATTTGACCGATGCGATGATGACGCATGGAAGGTGGGAAAAACCTGCAAGGAAGCAGCGGTGATGAGCAGACAACTTGTCGATTTAGGCTTCTAAATGCTTCGGTCAGCAAAGTGATTAAGTCGGGATTTCTTAAGATATTCTGGAGGTACCCATATTATTTACTGGTATAAATGATTATCAGGTTGTTTAAAAATAAGTGTTTTCTTAAGAATACTATATTTTGTGGTTAATGATTGGTGGGACTAATCCAAGGCATTATCGAATCTCACAAAGAGAAGGGAGCAAAAAGAAAAAGAACCTGCACTTTAGTGTATACACATCGTGAGTTGCGTTACTGATTGTATTTTCTTTTTCTTTCTTTTTTTTTTGCTTCCTCTTCTTTTTTCTTTTTCTTTTTTTGACAGCTGTTGCAATGTTTGAGACAATACACCCAGAAAAGGGAACATCCTTTTGAAAAAATCCTTTTAATGTTCTTGCTAGATATATATCAGTAAGATCACAAATGAATAAGCTCTAGATTTACCCCTCTCCCCAATTAATGACCATCCCAGGTGTTCCAATAAAAGTAGCTGAGCATGTCGCGTGAAACTTTTGTTGTTGTGTGCCCTGTGTACATATGCACCCAAAGGCAACTAGCTCCACAGACAACTTAGGACAGTAATAGTCCGGATGACGCATTTTGTGACACTTTTCTTCAGAAAAAAAAAAGTAGCACACTCTTCTCACTTAAACTGCAGGCTGCCAGCGGCTAATATTATAAAATCAATCGATGTCGCCCTCATATTTTCTTCCTTGCCTTTGCCCTTCACACACAACATTGTAACAAGCACGAATATATCCGTTCAAAAATATATTTATTGATATCAACATATATATATATATTGTGACACCTCATTGCCACTGTCACTTTTTGCAGTGAATATTTTATTTTTTTATTTTTATTTTCATCCATCCATCCTTAATTTCATCATCTCTTTTCAGAACACACAAAAAAAAAAAATTGACAAACCCATCACAGACCAACAATAACAACAAATAAATAATAGCCACAAGAACTGACTTTCAACTTCTCTCTACAACATGAATGATGCTTCCATCAAGCGCTTTCTGGCGCCTCCTAAAATATCCTTTTCTTATCCACCTGACATCCATACCCCGCCAAAGCACATACCATTGAAGTCTCTCAAAGCCAGATACCATGTTATATCAAACTTGGGAAATGGAAGCTTTGGGTCAGTGGTCCTTGCTAAAAGAGCTGAGCTGTATCAGTATAGTGCCGACAAAATGAGTACTTTAATGAACCCAATTGCTGGTTGCACGGACTTAAGTACCCCATTGGTAAGTTAGGCACAGTCTTTTTTTTTTTGTTTGTTTGTTTCCTTCCTACTATACATTACTAACATCACCACAGGTTGCCATTAAGACTATGAATAAAACATTACCAAAACTAAAGGATTATACTAAAGTGAAAGAGGTCAAGTTTATTTTGTCTATTCCTTCTCATGTGAACTTGGTGTTCATCCATGAAATGTTTGTTGACAATGTCGACTTCAAATTGCATATAGTTATGGAAACAATGGACCAAAATTTATACCAATTTATGAGATTCAGAAAGGGACAGTTATTCAGTGAAAACTCCGTCAAGAGTATTTTGGCACAAATCCTTGCTGCTGTTGGTCATATTCATAAGCATGGTTACTTCCATAGGGATCTTAAGCCAGAAAATATCCTCATCTCATACAACAGCTCGAAAAATGGCTATTATCCTCAGGTTCCAGGACAATTTAGACCTCCGTCTTATATTGTGAAGTTGGCTGATTACGGATTGGCAAGAAACATAGATAACAAGAGACCTTACACCGCCTATGTTTCTACTAGATGGTATAGATCACCAGAAATTTTGTTGCGTCAAAAACATTACTCTAGGCCAATCGATATATGGGCATTTGGAGCTGTTGCTGCTGAAGTGACAAGCTTCAGACCTTTGTTTCCTGGAAATAATGAACTAGACCAAACATGCAAGATCCTTGAAGTTTTGGGATCTCCATACATGGTTGATGATAACATTCCTCTTGGCGGTTTTTGGGCTGATGCACAGGTATTGGCCAACAAGTTGGGTTTCCAATTGCCATACTCTCCAGGTATTAGAATTGAGAATATAATTCAGAGACCTGAATTGGCTCAGTTACGTGATGTTGTCAAAGCTTGCCTAACTTGGGATCCTAACTTGAGAATTGATGTAGAAAGACTCTGCAGAATGCCATATTTTTGTGGAACAATTGTTAATCCTTACAGTGAATCTATCAATTCAAAGCCGTTTGCTATTCAAAATCCATCTATCGCCACTACGCAAGGAATGATGATGAAATCAGAGCTTCTTTCCGGCATCAAACCTGTGAGTTCTGCAAATAATAAAATTGTCAGGAGTCCAGGCTCTCTCGGTAATTCTACTAAGCCAAAAAGCGGCCCAAAGCAAAAGAGTTTATTGTTGAAAAAATCTGCGCATGAAATTTCTCCAATTTCCTATAGAAGTGATTACCTTTCCAAAGAGCGCAAAATTCAGCAATCAGCTGTTCCTCAGCCACAACACCAACAACACCAGCAGCAGCAGCAGCTGCTGCTGCAGCCATTTGAATATTCGCCTGTTTTCCCTGTTGAGCAATCTCTCCCATCTTTACAAGTATTTGCTCCTAGGATAGCTTCTCCAAATGCCATTCACCAATCCCCCGGGAAAATTTCCTTAATTTCAACTCCATTAATTAGAAATAATCAAAAAAATTCTAGTAACTGCAATAACAGTTTCTTAAATGATAGCTTCACTGGTGGTGGTTTCTCTCTTCAACAACAACAGGTGTATCAACAAACTCCTAATCAGCCATTCCAGAGTCCGCAGACCAATAGTCTAAGTCATTGTAATTCAGCTTCTGACCTGATTATGACCAATAACTACCCATCAAGGCATATACATGATGGTCAAGCAGTTGCTAGCCTCAGAAATTCCTATCAAAACTATTCCAGTAGCATTGAAAGTGAAGGTTTTGGTTTAGACAATGAAGTTGAATTAGGTAAAAAGCAAAGCTTTTACTATGATAATTATTATATTCCAAACTACTCCGTTCCAATGGGTGATTGTGGAAAATCTAATCCTCACTCGTTTCATGAAACCAATGACATGGATAAATTGAATCAAAATATTAACACCAATAATGAGAATTTCCAAATATGATCCACTCATTACCTATAATTAATAGGCCATTGAATCCCAATATTCGAATTTTGATATCTTTTATTATATTTTATTTTATTATTATTATTTTTTTCTTTGCATAACGTACAAGATTATTATATCTTGTTCTTGTTCAACCCCCTATTTTGCATACAACTTTTCTTTTCCCACATATATATCTATATGTTCATCTTACCGGCATTATTATACATATACTTGATGACCCCTTTAATTATACAGTTCATTCGGTGGTGGTTTTTTGTTTTTTCTTATCTGTTTGCTGACTTTTCTTCTTGCTAATGTCCTTTCTCATATTTTTATCTCATTTATTATTTATAATCTCACGACGGAAAACTGAATGCATAACCAACTTTACGAATTTTCAAAGATCTTTGTAATAGCACATTTATTCATATGATCACAAAATTATGAATCCATATTCCACGAGCATCCGAGAATCCCATAAAAAATTGTAATCGTTCCTTAAAAATCAGTGACTCTTCCGTTGAACGAATAATCACCATGTCTGAGCGGGTCTTGTTTAGGTCCGCCAACTTCACCAGTTTTAGGATTCACGTCGCCTTCAAACTCTGGAATGGTTGCAAAATACGAAGGGAAGTTACCAATATCTGTAGTTTCTTTGATATTTGGATTTGACTTAGAATAAGCAGCATCTGGATTTCCCTCATTATTGTATTCTTCAATAATCACTTGAGAGTTTGCAACTTTTTGGAGTCTTTCAAATTCTTCTTGGTCTTCTTCTGGAAGCTTTGGAGGGGATGGGGTAGATGTTGGCTGGAAATCACCCAAGCTTCGGTTAGGTATCATCAGATGAAATGATCTGGATATCGAAACCGAAAATTTCCCCATTGGAGAATATGATTTGCTAATCACTGACCTAATTAGCGGATTCATTTATTATTATTATTATTATTATTATTATTATTATTATTATTATTATTTTTTCCAGTAGCAAGTGGGTAGCGGTAAGTAAAGAACGATTCCTATTGATTGAATATATTTTCATGCACCAATGCTACGATATGGGTAGGGTAAACCCATAAGAGGTGCAAATAAATTGAAAATATGGAAATCTTGATGGTATCGATAGTAAACTTAGATCCAACTACAATAAATAGGCAGCGTAAGCATTTCAGTAAATAGAAAATAGAAAATAGGTCACGTCGGGTAAGTATTGACATTTCCAAATCTAAGTTGTTCTTGGACCAGTATATCTTTGTAAAACTTTCTGCGTGAACTACTAAAGCTGTCATTAAATGCCTATTGCATATTTCCTTTCAGGGAGTTCCTCTTTTTGCACTTCGAGAAAAATACTTCATTTTTACCAATCTCTGGAGAATAATATTTATTCTGTTCTGATACTGGTCACTATCTCACATTTTGATCTCAATTGACAAAAAAGTCAAATGGGGAGCTCAGCAGAATTATCGTACTCAAGGGGTTAGAGTTCTTAAATATCAGGTAAAGACTAGAGCGAAGGGCCTAATATTATTTTTAAAAGCAAAAATTAGATGCACGATTTTTATTCTTGTTGAAGAAAAAGTTGAGAAAAGAGTCTGCCATCTGCGCCAATGTTTAAAAAGAATAACATTGTTACACACTATTCCGATACCGGGAGTCGAACCCGGGTTTGCTCGGTGAAAGCGAACCGTGCTAGCCGTTACACTATATCGGAATTATTGATTTTGTTGTAGTGTGGTTTGAGGTATTGGTTATAGGCAACGAGACACGTGCTCATAACCAGAATTCTGATGGTCACTACATTGAAAATAAAAGCTTCAAATTATTATCTCTCACTAATAATTGAGGCAAAGAAATAGAATGTCAGTTAAAGTGTTCAGTTGGTACATTGATTTATGGAATCAGGATATGTGTCTGGACTTAAAAAGTGTGTGGTGACACTTAAGACAGACCCATGGTACTGGTTCTTATTTGATTTATTTGGTTTATTTGATTTATTTGATTTATTTGATTTATTTGATTTATTTGGTTTACTTGATTATTTTGACTTATTTGAATTATTTGGTCTATTTGATTATTTGAATTATTTTTTTACTTGGATTCAATTATTCTATTGATTTTCATTATTTTTATTTTTATTATTTTTATCTTTATTATCCCCCCAGAATTCTGATGGTCACTACATTGAAAATACTTAGTATTTGAGATATAGTGCCAAAACCCCTCAACAAAGACCTCCATCTCAGTTCATGAAGCTCCTAGTGATGGGTAATTCACTAGCGACTTCATATCATATGTTCACATTGCACCTTTTTTCCTTAATAATCTTGATTGTTGAGTTTTTTACCGGTGATGTGATTAATTCTTAAAGCAAGGAGTGTGAGGTTGTGAGAAAGTTATAGTATTTTACTTATCTATTAGAAAGACAGGAATGAAATGCCCGGCTTGCATGTTATTTAGAACCTCTGTGACTCGTTAATATATAATCAATAAATTGATTTTTATGATGAATATATATATACCCTTCACACAACAAATAGAATTATAGTGACCTGTTTGGACGCAATAATATACAATTATCTTTTTATCGAAAGGATAAAACATAAAAGATACAGTAACATGCAGTTAAATGTAATGATAATATTAAAGTTTTTTTGAGTCTCAGAGGCCTATATGATACAGATATAACAACATATTTGCTTATTTAAAATAAATTACAGATTTTTTGCAGTACAAAAAACATATAAGAACGTTTGTTGAATATTATTTGTCTGTACCTACCAACGCTTTGATAAAAGGCGTAAGCTAACTATTGACGAATACTATTGATGAATAGTTAACTACTATACATACGGATATTACTATATTTATATTTTTCTTAATCTTGATAACAAGGAACATTCCACTAATCATGGAATGAAGAAGATACTGCTCTAATAATCCTGTTGTCTACAGTGAAATGTAGAATGGAATAGAACTAATGAACTGTTATCCTAGATAATGTACAACCAAACCCAAATAATCTACCTCGTAATGTTTAAAAACAACAATACTGCCTTAACTCAGAGCGCCACTTTTGACGTTTCTCAACATTATTTCTACTACTATTCTTATCTTAGCGAAATTGGATTTTTAATGCAACTAATTGTTGTTTGTAACGTAATTAATTGTTCCTTTTAGCAAACTATCATTTTAAAACCACCACCCTGTTACTACCATTTATACTGTTATTATTGTATCAATTGAAATATATAGAATTAAGTTTAGTAGCTGTTTTTGCCATGATTTTCTATTTTCATTATTGGTTTGGGCAGTTAGGGCGCTATAATCTCAGAAATGCTATATTATTTTTTGGTAGCATTTTTATCTTGGTGTACCCTTACCAGAAACACTATATATTGATTGATTCTCTTGAATTGAATCTAGCATTTCATTAGTTTCATCCGTAAATATTCATGGATTCGTTTGACCTGAGATAACGTTCCTTAAATTTTGAGAAAACTAACAAGAAAAAAATTCCGGATTTTTTTACACCAATTTAATCCAAATCATTTGAAAAATATTTTTTATTATTATTGCCATTATCATCGTATTTTTGGCTTTGCTTTCAATTCATGCGCCATTAAACTGCATCATAAATATGGGTCTTAATGGTTTATCTTTATGGAGGTTCAAATAGCAGCGATTTGATTTCCTTAAGGAGTCAAAGATTAATAAAGTATATGGTAATCTTGGTAAATATATATTTATATAAATATGAAAGATTAGAGTCTACGATCCATGATTTTTTTCAAAAAAATGTTGAAGCAACTAGTCATAAGAACATATCCAATAATTCATAGCAATCTATATACAGAAAAAAAAAGTTATGACATCTCTAAAATCAAATTTATTAGAGCTTCACACCAATGTGAATGGCAGCAATACCAAAAGATAAGTTTTCATAACCAACACCAGGGACATAAAATCCTGCTTCCCTAATCATACTAGCAAATTTATCTTGGGATGGGAATTTTTTAATACTTTCAACCAAGTACTGATAAGATTCCCTATCATTGGCAATCAATTGCCCCATCAACGGCAAGAATGTGAAACTATAATTTGAATAAATTGAGTCCAAGATTGGGTTATTAACCTTGGAGAACTCTAAACAAGCAAAGATTCCACCTGGTTTCAAAACACGGTAAGCAGCATTCAAACCGGCTTGAATATCAGTGAAATTTCTAATACCAAAAGCAATTGTGTAAACGTCTTTGGAATTATCAGGGATTTTATCTAAAACTTGTCCATTTTGCTGTAAAAACTCAATTCTTGAATTTGATTCATAGGCAAACTTGGTATTCAAGAATCTTTTCTTCCCTTCATTCAACATATCTTGATTTATATCAGCCACTATGATTTTGGACTTATTGTCAGAATACTTGGAAAGAGCATTATCCAATAAACCAAAGGCGATATCCCCTGTACCACCGGCAACATCAAGAAATTCTAGTGGTTCACCACCAGGTCTGGCACCCACATCAAGTTTCTTGATAAAGTGGTCTTTCCATAATCTATGAACACCCAAGGACATCACATCATTCATGATGTCGTAATTGCTAGCCACAGAACTGAAAACATTTCCAACAAGGTGCTCTTTGGAATCAACCGGAACTTGCTTGAAACCAAAATGGGTGGTTTGTTGCTTTTCATCCGAGGCAAATGAACTATTTGAAAACATTCGTATAGTTCTCATGCCTCCAAACAGAGCGCTTTTGATAATTTTTTGGGCGATCATTAGCGACTTTGGAACAAAATTGGACTTTTACTTGACGGTAATTATTACAAATTATGATGACGAAAGTCCAATTTTCAAGTCCTTCAAAAAATATGATGGGAGTCGCTAGCTAGTGTCACCCGCTTGTTGATTAGAAGTAGAAGCCGAATCAGACTGATCAGTTGAATTGTTCAGTGCATCAGCAATAACAGGATCATAGGAATAATTAGCTGAACTCATTAATATGATGAGAGTCTGTTAGGCTTATCAAGTCAATGTTTATTTCTCTCTCCACTATATAATTTACTAGTTAGAGTTATTAAAGAATTTAGCCATCCTTTATTGTAAAATTCTTCCTTCTTGACTTTTAGAATCTCCTAGCGGCATTATCCAGATTATTGCTCCTTGTTCTTGACTTGCCCAAATTGTAGTTGCTATCACTAACTAGTTATAGTCTAGAACCAACAATATAGCAAAGCCAGTGCAATCCGCCAAAACCATACTTAGGATTGTTCGGAGAAATGGCTTAAATACCACCATCCTGGTATACTATGACACCTTTCATAATTTTATTTCCGGTTTCACGTGAGACGGTGAAATGGCAACAGAAAAGGAAAGGAATGAAGAGTTGACTTCTTAATCCTATATCGATACTTATCTTCACTCGATCTCGCGTTAGATGTGTGATAAGAAGATCAAATATTATCACCATACTTTGTATCTAACTATCTGATAGAACACACAACTCAAACAAGCGGCTCGTATTTAACAACTTGTTGTTAGGCTGAATTAACAGTAATAAATCAAAGAAAGTAAAGGTATTAAATGAGTAATAATAGTGGGATTGGTTCTTGTCTTCTAATAACAATAAGGAAGACAAATAATAATAAACCACAAAATAATTTAACACGATAAAATGTAAAGTAGAGTGATCATATTCGTAGTATGTACGACAGTACAATAATATATTAGTATTCGTCAATAGTTAGCTTATGCCTTATTCCAAAAAGTTGGTAGGTACAGACAAATAACATTTAACAAACGTTCTTATATGTTTTATCCTTTCGATAAAAAGATAATTGTATATTATTGCGTCCAAACAGGTCACTATAATTCTATTTGTTGTGTGAAGGGTATATATATATTCATCATAAAAATCAATTTATTGATTATATATTAACGAGTCACAGAGGTTCTAAATAACTTGCAAGCCGGGCATTTCATGCCGGTCTTTCTAATAGATAAGTATAATAAAAATAAAAATAATGAAAATCAATAGAATAATTGAATCCAAGTAAAAAAATAATTCAAATAATCAAATAGACCAAATAATTCAAATAAGTCAAAATAATCAAGTAAACCAAATAAACCAAATAAACCAAATAAACCAAATGAACCAAATGAACCAAATAAATCAAATAAATCAAATAAATCAAATAAATCAAATAAATCAAATAAATCAAATAAACCAAATAAATCAAATAAGAACCAGTACCATGGGTCTGTCTTAAGTGTCACCACACACTTTTTAAGTCCAGACACATATCCTGATTCCATAAATCAATGTACCAACTGAACACTTTAACTGACATTCCATTTCTTTGCCTCAATTATTAGTGAGAGATAATAATGTGAAGCCTTTGTGGAATGTTGTCAAAATCAAACTCAAAATCAAAATCATAATCAAAATCGACAAAATCAAATAGACCAGTGCTATCTATGGTTTTATCTCAGATGGCACCACACATCTTTGATTTCCATAACACAAGCCCATGATTCAAACTAAGAAAAATCAATAAAATAATAATAGTAAATTAATAAAAACCAAGTAAAAAATAAACCAAATACTATTAACTGGGAAACTAGGCACCTATTTTTTTTTTTTTTTTTTTTGTTAATCAACCTCCTTCATTGCCACCACTTCATTCAAATAAGTTATCCACATTTTGAGTTGTTCCCTACTTCTTTGTATTCTTTTTTTTTCCAAGAATATATATTCAGCGATATTCCGCTGACTCTCAATATTGTGCTTTTGACGTGAAGTTGCTAATTCCGGGCAGTGAAGATAGTGGTCTGGGGTTTTTTCCACTTGACAATGCTGGCATAGATTTGGATCCTTTCGGTATTCATGCTTCATTCTCATCTTTAGCAATTCTCTAATTTCTTTGGTACCCATTGATTCCCAGATGGAATGCATTGCTATTTTGCTGTTCTTAAGTTCAAACTGAAAAGCTGATGTTTTTTCAAGGTAGAATTTTTTTTTTTTTTTTTTTTTTTCCAATAATTTCGATTTATATTAAATCTCATAAGTATATAATTATATAAACTTGTTCTTGGTTTTGAGGAGGAAAATCTTCAAAAGACGAAGAATTTCAATTTTTTTTAAATTAATATTCAACAGTGTGAGATTTCTACTCACTAAAAACCCCCTTTAAGATATTGACTATTTTTATTTTTATTTTTAATATTATTTTTATTTTTATTTTTAATATTATTTTTATTTTTATTTTTAATATTATTTTTATTTTTATTTTTATTTTTAATATTATTTTTATTTTTATTTTGTTTTATGGTTATTTTAATTTTTTAGTAGACCGCTGTAATAAGATATAATAATGTTTTCATTGATTGATTAGTCCAATCTGCATTATTTGACCTTCGTACCCTATTATATTTTTCAATGTAATAAGCGAAGCGATCCAATTTTATCATAGTTTGTTTCTGATGTTGATGCAATATGATGTTATCCCATGTTTGAGATATTCCCATTTTTAATATTTTCCATAAGTTTCTTGATACTGTGCAATTTATGTAGTAATGGGTGATGTAGGCTTCCTTGATATGGTCAGGATCCCTGGGGTTGGTGTTCCAATTTTCTGGAGGAAAATTACAAACATGGCAACGGGAATTTGTTGATTTGAACAATGTGAGCCCCAACATCATGAGGTGGAGGTTCTCCATTGAACCCGGTACCCACCTTTTGATCTGGTTAATCTGTTTCCAAAATTTTCTTTGTTGTGGCTCCAGGGGGTATGTGATTTTGGTCAATGTTGTTGATGCTTTGGAGACGTCTCGTTTGAGTTGTTCCTGTTTGCTGCCGTTCTTAAAATCAAAAGTGAACATTTTTTGATGGTGGGCCTTGTATTTCTCTGGTACTGGTTTTGCTAAATTGTCCTGGATATCTTCAATCTTCAATCTTCTGCATCTGTGATACCTTGTTTTTCCCTGGTTCTCTAGATCAAATAAAATCGACCATGATTTGAGGTATTTTTTCTCTTCTAGTGAGAAAATGTTGCTTTTGACAATGTCAGAAAGGGTAATTTTCTTGGTGGAGCTGCCAGGATATGAGAGTTGGTAGCCAAGTAACGGAAAGTACCATATATGTGTTTGGATGGAGTTTCTGTCAATCATACTTCCAATTCTTTGAAAGTGAGATTCTGGATGGAGTTGAGATTTTTGGTATTGATCAAGTAGAGATTCCACTTGGATTTGGGTGTTAATGGCGTATTGGATTTTATATCTCAAGATTTGGTGATATAAATATTTTTCCAGGGATGTTAGTAGTTGGTATATGACGTGTGCGTACCGATATAGGAAGTGGTTTTTGAGATCGAGCATTCCATATCCTCCCATCTGGGTGGAAGTTTTGAGGGTGGAAAGGGATAGGCTGCCAATCCTGCGACAAAGGTGTTGAAATGATTCCTCAATCTTAGTGGTGGTAGAGTTAGAAAGGGGCTGATGCATTGCACGATATAAGAGTTTAGGGATAATGTAAGTATTGTACCCCAATACCTTTTCCGCTAAGCTGAGATGGTGCATTTGTGTGAGATAATATTTGTATTTGATGTTTTTCAATACCTGATCTTGATGTAGTGGTGTGTTTAGTGGAATACCCAAGTACACTATTGAGGGAGTGGAGGTAAAGACAGGGACCTGTTCATAGGGTAGTTTTGTCAAGGGTCCAAAGGTGCGATGATATTCGGCTGTATGGTATAGCTTGGATTTATCGGTGCTAAGGGTACTGCCTGAATATTTTTCAAAGTCCTTGATGTATTGGAGGGTGGTGAATAATTCAGTGTCATCTTTTACAAATCATAAAATATTCTTAACTAATGTTAAATTGAGATAATTGAGTAAATAATCACTGGTTCAAAACGGATGGTTGGCCGAGCGGTCTAAGGCGACAGACTTAAGATCTGTTGGGTTTTCACCCGCGCGAGTTCGAATCTCGCATCATTCATAGTTTTTTTGCATTCTAAATTTCTATCTCAAAACTCTATTGTTCTGTGTACTTTTCAGATAAAGCCTCATTTTTACAGGATTTTTATCCTCCTATAAACATGCCTTTCATTTTGTAGTTATAGCTGATCATACAAAGACTTTATTATTTAGAAAACCTTATTATTGTTATATTTAACTGCATTGACATGTTTTATCTGCTTTGTGGTTTACCCTTTATATTATCTTTATTACTGCGTCATAACACGCCACTTTTATTCTCTTGTTATATAAAGAGGACTCTGGTCCACTACAAGTATATTGTATAGTATTAATAAAAGGAAGGATCCATTCTTAATACCAGACTCGCTAGTAGCCATTGCACATCCGATGATTTATTTTTATATATTTTACATAAACTATGAATTTTAGTACGAATATATTGCTGTATTACTATAAATTACAACTCATTTTAATAAAAGGGACGTAAAATCAGTTTATAAACTACTGATAAGACATTTTCCTAGCATCACACATCAGCCAGAATCCATATAAATGTAAGCAACTAGAAGAATATGCAAACAAAAATTATTGTTTCATATTACTGGATATGGATGCTCAAGTCTCCTAAAGGTATTATAGAAGGCCTACCGTGAGCGCATTGAAACGGAAATTTGCAAGTACTTAACTTTTGAATTAAAATTTCACATTCAATAATGCTCAATGGATCCCCAAACATCACTGCTGAGCGGCATGATTTTGAATTAATTGCGTCAATAATTATATCTGGAAGCAAAGGGATCCACTGCCACCAATTATTGCATTTCTCAAATTCCTTTGTTAAGAACTCATAATTCTGTAGCTTTCTTCTTTCAAGAATGTCAAAACTATGTTGTAATAACAATTTTTTAACAAAGCTTAAATCCTTCCTTTCCAAAAGCAATTTCGGAAGATGTGTAATAGTTATTTCAGTGTTTGAAATAATGAACTGTAGCCCCCAAGTGGCAAAAATATCCTTGTAATTTTCAATTAACTTTATCTCATAGGTTGAAAGCTCAATATTCATGTGAGGAATAAGTTCCTCTCCCATAACTCTAAAGTCATTATTTATATTGAGGAAAATATCATTTATGAGCTCCTCAAAGTTCTTCTCCACTTTAATCCTTTCATCACAGGCATGCTGATCCAAGATCAACAACATTGGCAACTTATTTTTACCTAACTCGCTTTTCACAAGAATGAATTTATTATCGATTTGAGATATAACTTTAAAAGTATTGAGAGATTCTTTGCTCAACTTAACGTTACTAAATTTGTCAAAGTAATCAGAATTTTCAATATTATTTTTGGTTTTTGCTGAATCCACATGTTTTGAGAGGTTAAAAGTATCGATTTTCCGTAAGCCTTGCGATCCTCTGTTTCCACCAGCAACCGAAGAACCCTCAGGGGTATTAATCAGAAAAATGTTTTCCTGATTATTCATTCCGCAACAGGACATTCTTCCAGAAAGTTCAAAGTCATTAACCTTCCCCACTTTCATTGATGAACCCAAAAGAGTTTTGATTGATCTCAAACCAATTTTTTGTGGAAGCACTTCTAAAGATTTGGCTCCAAAAATCTTATTCAAATTTGTTTCTTCAAGTTTATTACCTAAATGAGGGCTCAAGAAAGAATCAAATGATTTCAAAATTAATTTTCTGACAGTGTTTACGCTATCTGATGTGTAAAGTATCTTGGATGGATCTTGTAATAAATCAGCTATTGATAGAGGACCAAAGATTTTAATAATAAAAACAGGAAATCTCAATGTTGTTTTATTATTAAACGCTGCTTGGGGTTTTGCAATTTTCGAGGCTTTTGAGCATGAGGAAGGCGGTAATGGATTTTGTTGGAACAAAGAGTCTTTAAAATAATTAGACGACTTGAATAAATTTTTGATGTCTCTAAAAAGCGAAGTATCTAGCACTCGCCTGTTGTTTAGGTAAATAAACTGAAATTCTGATGAGTAGCAAAGAGAAGCTCCGACAATGCCATGTAAACTAAAGTGGTTGTATGTTTGATCAATAGTATGAAAATTGGAGCAAATTGATCTACCATATATTGACTCAAAAACCCTTGGCATATAGTTATTATTCAAGCCCTTGATACAACAAATGATATTGTTGTTATGCCGAATCTTGAAGTTTCTATTTCCATGGCTCATGGCTAAGTCATGAACAATTCTTCTAATATCATTCACAACTTTCAGTTCCGAGTGTTTAGATAAATTATGTCTTCTCACAGGAATATTTCCAAATAGCCCGGTGCAAATTATAATTGTTCCAGAGGTTGTTATGAAATCAAGATCAATTTTTCCAAAATGGTCATCAATATAAGAGTTATTTGCATCAATCCGAACCGGTCGGGATAGAGTTCTAGCGCCTTTGGAAAACTTTATCGCAAATGGCGAGTTATATCCAGAAGCCTTGGAAATTAATGTAATATTAGATATTGTGCTGAGAGAATGAATGGCTTCACCTCGGAACCCATATGTTTTGATTGCACTCAAATCACCCAAAGATTCCATTTTTGATGTATAAAATCTATTGCCTACAACTTCGAGACTTTCAGGTGAAATCCCATTTCCATTATCAAGAATCATGAATTTCATCTTAATAATATCAACAATGCACTCTATATCATCAGCATTACTATCAATACTATTTTCTAAACATTCTCTAATAGCATCGGGCAAAGTCTGAATGGTGAGTTGTGATCGAAGAATATTTCTGACATCCAAACTCAAAAGAGTAATAGGGGAGCTTGGATACATCTTAGAGCTTCATGGACTCTCATTATTGTTGGTATGCTCTAACAGAATGGAAGTTGCAACTTCATTCTAGGCATATTATGTTCTACATAAAAAAAAACAAAAAAACAAAACAAAAAAAAAACACAAATATCAGCACATCGTGGAATGCTAAGCGCACACGTGCTTTCACAAATACAAATAAGGCTATCGCTAGTTTATCAATATAACTAGGGAACTTTTGGGATCGTAAATATTTAAATCCAGATATTATTAGTGTAAACCATAACCATGAAAAATTATTACGACATGAGCTTTAAATAGACCTCGGCCGATACAAAAGAGGGTAACCAATAGTACAGATGGTATGGAAAATCTTAACATGAGCAAACTACATTCAGAATCAAAATATAAAAATATTATTTTATTTATACAAAATTAAAGACGTTAAAGCTGATAAACAAAATATTTTAAATGAAAGTTTCGTAAGCAGCTGGGGCCAAGGTTTCTGGCTTGTTAGCTTCAGTAGAAACAAAGTGAGCAGTTCTTGGTTGTTCTGGTTGTCTCTTCAATTGAACAGCCTTACCGGATTTCTTAGCTTCAGCCTTCTTAGCGGCGTTTTCCTTAACACGGTTCAAAAATTCTTGACGACACTTGGAGTGCTTAACGTGTTCAACTCTCAAGTTGATTCTCTTTTCAATGTATCTATAGCCAACAACCTTGTTGATAATAACACCAACAGAGGACTTGGTAACGTTGTAAACAATACCAGTCTTACCGTGGTAGAACTTGTGTGGCATACCCTTTTGAATGGAACCGTTAGCCTTAATATCAACGATATCACCAACCTTGTAAACCTTCAAGTAAGTAGACAATGGAATAGTACCATGCTTCTTAAAGTCACGTTGGAACATGTAACGTGTTCTAGATCTGTAACCATGACTATAACAATGTTAGAAAAACCTTCTCATCATATTAAAATACTAAAATAAATTGCGAGCACATTTTACTGAATAGAAAAGTTCGAGTAACAATAGTGGAATAACCAGAAGATTTCCACAACATTTGCCATTAGTTGCATACTAGCTCACGGAGTTTTGGATAATTAATCACTTTGGTTTTCTTATAAATTTTCAACTTGGAAATTTGGTCTCCGAATCCTCATTCAATAAAAAGTCCATGGCAATTTGATTCTTAACTTCACGTTTTGAATAATCTCCAAACTTCATTTTATATTGTTTTCATATTGACGCTTAGAAGTATACCCACCAAACTCAGTTGAGAAGACCATAATCACCTTCATTAAAAAACTTTTTACAGAAAACAATTTGATTCATTTATCCTTCAGTTCATCCAAAAAACATAATCATGACACCTCGAACGATTGTTGCTTCAAATATTATCGTACTCAAACCATCAATATCACATTGACCACATACCTTTTACCCATTTTGACTGATTATTTTACTATGCTGTTACCACTTCAATCACCGACACAGAGCACCGGTTAGAGCTATTTTGATGAGAATGAAAAAATAAAAAAAAAAGACAGAAGATGCTGCGATTACCCGTCTAGAAAATCTTGTCACGAAAAAGCCCTAATTTAAAGTCTGTATGTATATCTGGTGATATTCACGTGATTTAAACAACTTGTCAAAAGGGTCCGTCAACTTTGACCCAAATTCTAGTTGGAGTGATCGCTGCCACATATGGACGTGAAGCGAAATGAAGGAATGTATTATAGTAGATATAATTTTTTAAACAAAACAAGAGGCACTATCTCATATGACTTGAGTCAACATAAAAGCAGCACAACGACGTATCAATATAATAAAAATTTCGGGGTATACAAATTTTAGGATGGAAGGATGGTATTGCTGTGTATCCTTTATAAATAAATACTAACAAAATAAAGCGAGAATGTCATTATAATTAATTTGATGCAATTTGAGTCCATTGATCATGTGCTATGCTGAATCTCATTAGTCATGAATTTACAAACTCTTCTAGAGTGCGGGAATTCAAGTTGCTCAAGCTGAGAATTCTTCTATTCATGATGAAAGGAATGTTATCAATATGCGATGGGAAATTAGTTCATTAGATGCTACCATCGGTAAATGCTCTTTAACCATCCGTCATGTAACTGTGGTGGTAAAGCGTGCTATTATAAGGATGTGTAGGCTAATGTTAGATTGTGTCTTATTGATAGGCCAATAATGGCTCACATATGTTCATTGGGACTCTCACTTCCCTGTAATATATTTTCATTGAGGTAATAATTCTTAGATGCGTATAATATATGGGGCCATCTACTAAATAATTTTTTTTGAGCTCTATTCATCTTGACATGTATTGTGCGTAGAAGCAAATAGAAGAATACAGAAGTACCTAATGAAAAATACACATATTCTATGAGTTTGATTCTACAAACAATATTATTAAAGTTTAATACCTCTCAATGATTCCACGACTCCCTCAATAGACGAAATGTCATATGCATAAGTTTGTAATTCATTAGCATGCCTTTTTTGCAACTCCCGGGACGACTTTGTAGCATAATCCTTGCCATGTTGCAAATTTTCAATAGTCTCCCTCTTTTTAATTAATTTTGTTAATTTTGATTCATTTCTTTCTATTTCCTTTGTAATATCTAAGGTCCCTTTCACTAAAAGAAAAACAATGATTAAGTCATTGTATCTCTTGGAAACATAATCAGTGCTATTCATGATTTGACTCTTATAGTCAGCAAGCAGAACTGTTGACAACTTCTTATTGAGATCCAAAATTATTTTACTGTTCTCGTGAACCATATCAAATAAATCTGAATGTTCCTGGATTTTTATAATAAGTTCTCCATTTTTAATATTTCCATAACAATTGATAAATTTATCAACAAAAGCACTCAAATCTAAGAGTTTTTCAAAACTCTCAACATGTTCAAATTGATAATAAGCTTTTGGGAAACTTTGTAAGCCAATAGATATGCTTCCATTGTTGGTCAACCTTTGCCAAAGTTCTTCACTAATGAACGGAGCGAGAGGATAATATAATCTCAAAGTTGTTTCACAAATGTAGTACAATATTTTCTTTGAATTTACTCTATCAAGATCTCCTTCAGGCAATGACAATAACTTATTCTTGATTATATTGAAATATGACCTGTCAAGGTCATCAAGCCAAAAGTCATTAAGAGACTCAACCGCTTTCGAAAAATCTTTGTTCTGTAAGCTAATATTCATGTTTTTGGTTAATTCATTCAACTTGTTAAGAATCCATTTATCATAAACATATTTGACAGTAAAATCATTGTTGTCATACTCATTAGATTCAACGTCCAATTCAGCTAGGATTTTTTTAACCAATTGATATATTTTCCCAACATATTTTTTCTCATTGTCAATTTCCGCCAAATTATTGAGAGTGAAGTTTTCATTCGTACCTAACTTTTTCAAAAAAAATAGCCTAAAAACATCAGCACCTAATTCATTGAATCCCTTGGGAAATTTCGTGTCAAAAGCTTTTATCAACTTTTTTAAGTCCTTTTTATTACTATTAGCAAACTGGGTAAGATTTCCTACGATATCGGTCTTGCCGTAACCTTCAACGATAAACAAGGGGTCAAAAGAGTTTCCCAATCTCTTGGACAACTTTCTGTCATTAAAATCAGTGACAATGGGGTGCAATAGAATCTCCTTGAATGGTAAAAACCCAGTCAAAAGAAAACAAACGATCATAGATCTTGCAATTTTGTCAATATCGGAAATAGAGGCGACCAACAAGGAATGTGGATAGAAAGTTTGGGTATCAGGCCAACCCACGCTTGTTAAAGGAAAAGTTGATTCGAAAAACCATGACCCAAGGTTATCTTCATCATCAATTAATTTGAGTTCATCGTCGCGGAATCTTTCCCTCGATAACTGTTCAGCTTTCTTTATGCTATCGCTGACAAACCAAAATGACTCATCACCAAATTTGCTGTCATCTTCTTGATATACTTGAGGAAAGTAAGAGGGGCTTTTACTCGTCTTCCACAACGATTTTTCATTAGTCATTATCAAACTTTGACCTCTTGATCTATTTATTGCTGAAACTAAGTCATCCTTGAAGTTTGTCGGGTATATTTTCACTTGATTCAATTCTTGAAGAAGTTCATCTTCAAAATTTTTGTTAGGCAGAAGGGATAAGTTAAGATACCAATGACTATGTAAGCGCTTTTCAATAATATCGCCAGTCTTCAATGATATTTGAATTCTCATTGGGTTATCCTTAGATCCAATAAGTAGTCCTTTTTCTTTCAAAACTGATAGAATTTTCCTTCTTGAATCTAGTCTCTTCAAACCTTGCCATTCTTTTCCACAATTCGCGTTCAAAGTCCCATCCTTATTAAAAATTTTTACGAATTTTAGACCATATTTCAATCCAATTTGGTAATCTTTAAGATTGTTTGATGGTGCTAATCTAACCGCCCCTGTTCCAAAATTAATATCCACTAAGTCATCGTCAAATATAACAGGGATCAAATTACCATTTATTGGGTGTATAGCCTTCTTGCCAACCAAGTGAACATATCTGTTATCATTTGGGTGTACTGCAATAGCAACATCAGCAAACATTGTTTCAGGTTTTGTGGTGGCGATCACCAAGTGCTCATCAGAATCTGAAATTTTGTAAATTATATCATTTATGGCTCCAAACTCAATTTCATGATCATATCCTGGTACTTTCATCAAGGTTCTACCTTTGATATTCATATATGTTATATCTGTATCTGAGACAGGTGAGCTTGATAAATATGACCAATTCACCATTGATGGTTTTCTTTCTATCATTCCTTGGCTATGGAGCTCAATGAAGCAGCGGTCAGTCAAACCTTTAAATTTTGGATTCAAGGTATCATAAACCAACTCATCATCAAGCAATATTCCTAGAGTTTTAAATTGAATATTTGCTTGCTTTTGATTTGTGCGTCTCAATTGATTCATTTGTTCAAGAAAACCAGCATTGTCCAAAGAATATTTGGATTTTTCATCATTCAATATTTTCTTTTCAAGATTATCCTCGATAAGAATATCACCATGATTGAAGCCAAAGATCTTTAAAACATTTTCATTTTCCATCATATAGTATCTGAACAAAGCATCTTGCAAAATTTGATTACAAGAAGTCCCCAAATGATTGACACCATTCAATTTATGGGGAAAGCCAATTATTGAAAAGGTAGACGAATAATCATTTCTGAAATGATTGGTCAAAGGGATACTAGACCAATACTGATGCCACGAAGAGTTGATATTAGCAGGAATATATGTATTAAGGCCTGGGCTATCAAGATTTTGAAGAATTTTCTTCTCGCCGGGAACTGTTGGATCAATAAATTCTGACAGAGAATTTTTGTTTTTTGAATGTGAGCTCTCCTGCTTCCTTTGGAGCTTTTGTTTCAATTCATATTTGAATTTCTTGTCTAATTTTTTCTGTTCTGATTTCCTTAAACTTTCTTTTGCCATAGCTATATGATTAACTAACTCTTCAATCATTTTGTGCTTTTAAAAAAGAGTCCCTTTTTTTTTAGCAGGTGTGAAAAATGTACTAGTCGCACTTGTACACTTTTTGCTAACAACACCCTAGAGTGTTAGTAGCCATAACATCATTACTTCTTATAAATTCTTGCTATAGTTCACCGGATCGGAAGAACGATCGTCCGTAGGTGCCGCATTGGAAGTGACGGATAAGTTATAGTTAGAATTATCTTGGGACATTATGAAGTAATAATAATGAGTTGTTACAAGTTAGATTGGGGGCTGGATGGTTTGTGTGTCGTTTATTCCAGCTTGGGATTAAATGACATCAGAGTTTGTGATAAGACAAGTTCAGTCAAAATCGGATCCTCTCAATCGCAGCTCCCCCTCCTACCAGTGGAAGGATATTATACTTCTACATATAATTATTTAAATCTCTGAAGATCAATCTTCTCCAGTATCAGGATAACTCTCATTGGCTGATTAGTCGTACTTTTATTATCACACTGCTACTTTTAAAGAAAAAAGACATTATTAAATTATTATATTTTACTGCGTTGTTAGCTTTATTAAGTTAATGTTTGTATCAACCCAGAATTATCTTAAATCCGATATTTTAAGACTCTATCCGCCGCTACCACCGACCGAATAAGTCTTACCCTACTACAAGCCATAATCTCGCGACAATAACAAAAAGTGTTAATCACATGTAATAAGATGTCACATGATATATATTTTACTCTCTTTTTATTGGCTCTCTCTGTGTTATGAGCTATGTCTAAAAATTACGTGTTGATATTAGTCCGATACGGCAATACCGATTAAGACAATCTAATAGGTATAACACCAAAGCACTTCTTTATTGCTATTTAATGATTGCTAGTGTAGATGGGAGTCGCTAGGTGAGTTAGTGTCACCCGCTTGTTGATTAGCAGTAGAAGCCTAATCAGACTGAGTAGTTGAATTGATGTAACATACTTTTACTACAATCCTTCAGCTATAAATGTAGTAAACTAGAAATCTTTCACCATGAGGTTATATGTAAGAGCACGTGATTATGAACTTTCACACTATGAAAAAGTGCCTAAATGTGTATTTTCCAAAGAGGCGAATTTTTGGGGACTTTTTCCGGACCCTGATATACAGTGTTTTCATTTTTTATTCGTACCAACCACCGGAAATGTTCATACAGTGTTTTCATTTTTTATTCGTACCAACCACCGGAAATGTTCATACCAGTGGCAAAAAATAATTCATACCGACCCCCGGTATTTTTCGTACCACCGCAGCGGGATTTATTCAGACCATCTAAGAAAAATAGTTCATACTATTGCACTTCAATTATTCATACCAACAGAATATAAAATTCATACCAACAGAATACAAAATTCATACTAAATGCATAAAATTCTTATGCTTTCATTAATATTTTATCTTTGATATTATTAAACATGTTATAGGGGACCCGCACACCCAATAAAGCCCCTTTGCAATACTCATTTACCATTTCACAGGCTCATAACCAAATTTTGAAGTGGTTTCGTCCTTCCTTAAAATTTTAAATTTTCATCAATTTGTTTTCAAAAGAGCTGCTGTTGTAAACAGAGATCAATATGTCTAGAAGCATGTCTGCAGAATCCCTTGTAACTATCAAGGGAAATATTTTCTGTGGCTTCTTTCACCCTTGGAGTTAATTGCTCCTTCTTGCTCAAGTTTGATCTTTTGACTTTACTCTTACATACTGACCAGAATTCTTCTATAGCATTCAACCCTGGAGAATAAGGAGGTAAAAACACAAGTTCCAAGCCACTCAGTGCCACTAGTAACTGAAGATCACGTCGTTTATGAATGGCAGCATTATCAAGGATCAAATATTTCATACCTTTGAGCTCCTCGTTATTTTCTATTTGCTGGATCACTGACTTTACAAAACTGTAGAAGTGATTAGCTGTAGTACCTTTACGAAATATTAAGCCCTCTGGTTACGGGAACAGTAAGAACTGCTTTTTCACCCACAGCAGACCATCCATACTCACGCCGCATACTGATATTGAAACCTGCTTCGTCGATGAAAATACAGTTTTGACTAAAGTCGAGCTTGTCTTTATACTTCTCTGCCCACTCGAGTCTCTGTTTCTTCAATTCCTCCAGACTTCTTCTCAAAGCCCATTTAGAAATACGTTTGAGACTTAGCTTACAGACCTTGGTTACAAAGTTATAGATTGTTGTAGCCTTGGCTCTTACATTGGTGAAGGCTTTCTTGAGTCTCTCCAACATAAAATCGAGAGTCACTGTAGCATCTTCCTTTATCAATTTTTGAAGGAATTCCTTATGCTCACCAGTAAGAAGGGGCTTACGACCTCTTTTCTTTGTTGGCTCCGAGATACCATTTAATTCATTAACAAGTATTTTGTTCCAATTTCTTTTCCATGTGTAAGCAGTTTGCAAAGGTATATCTTCTAATTTTGCAGCCTTGTAAGCTGACACGCCTTCTTCCATGACCAATTGCCAAAATCTTTGTTTGACAGCTTGATTATAATACCGGTACGAACCTCCATATCTTCGTTCTTTCATTTCAATTTCCATCTCGGCATCTTCTTCTTCTTCGAAAATAGGATCAATTTCCATGATATCCATGATACCTGGTTTTTCAAAATGCTTATAGTCACTGTAACTAAAGCAAGCTTCAACTGGTGCTATTTCAGACTCTAAAGTCATTTCACTGGGTTCAGCATAGAATCTATTACCTAGGCCATCAACATACCCATCAGTTAGTAGCTTGGCTTTCAAGTCCATACTTAGTTTTGATGGTAAAATCTTATGCTTTTTTTTGTAAGTAATCTGGTGATCATATAAAGACCGAATTGAATGTCAAAAGTGGGAATTCATCATCTTAAATGGAGAACAGCTCCTACCATACATTCGTTCCCATTTCTTGAAAACCGTAATCACGTGATATTATTGATATTATTATAGATATCCGGTTTTATAGAAAGTAGCACAGAATTATGGAAAAAATGAGTATAATTTGATTAAACTGAGTAGCTTAGAGGCTTATAGAGCCAGTCACATAAAAAAAAGAAAGGAATTAATATGAATTTTATATACTGTTGGTATGAATAATTGAAGTGCAATAGCATGAACTATTTTTCTTAGATGGTCTGAATAAATCCCGCTGCGGTGGTGCGAAAAATACCGGGGGTCGGTATTAATTATTTTTTGCCACTGGTATGAACATTTCCGGTAGTTGGTACGAATAAAAAATGAAAACACTGTACTGCCAAATTTTCACATTTTTTTCTCAACATATATTAAGTGTAAAAAATGACTGGGACGGGATTCGAACCCGCGCATCCGAAGAAATCACGGCCTTAACGTGACGCCTTAACCACTCGGCCACCCAGCCGAAACAAAATTTAACGGAAAACCGCCCACCGAACCTGGGACTCGAACCCAGAATCTCCTGATTAGAAGTCAGACGCCCTAACCAATTAGGCTAGCCCGGCTTGTGATGTTTTGTTATATTACGATGCGACTATACTAGATGTAGTTAGTGGCGTAGTGGGCAGAACCATAGACTAAGAAAGGGTCGCGTGTTCGAACCCCGCTCGCTGCATTAACCACCAGGTCACGTTCAGTACGCTAGCTGAGTAAGGAGTAATACCACTCTGAAGGTAAGATACAAGGGGGTTTTAGTGAGTAAAAATCTCACACTACCGGTAAGGTTGCGTCGCTGGTGTCTTTCGAAGATTTCCTCCTCCCTGGCTAAAAAAAAAAAATAGTGACAGGTTGCTACAAGTCAAAAACATTGCATTTTCCAACCCAAACTCCCGGGTTACCAAAAATATTGGGAGAAAACGGACACCAAATAAGTCGCCATAGCTGCGCATAATTGATCATAATAACCGTACATAAAAAGTGCGATGACCTATATAGCTCTTAGTAGTTAAATATAGGGACTTTATAAAAAAAAAAAAAAAATAGGATTGAATCAGCTTGGAGAACTACTTGGAATTTATCATGAGCCAACAGCATCTTAAGGATATCTTAATCTACTTTAAGATCCCAAAAGATATCTTTACAGAGTTTCCTCTTGAAAAACACTTGGAATCCATCAAAAACGGACTCACTAAGTTATCCAAAGAACTTGATACTATTACACAGTCATCCAACGAACCAGATAAGGATTTGATCATAATCAGGGAAAACTTAAAAGGGGCCCTCAACCACTTGGTTATTTTTAATAAGAAGATCTGCCTTAACTCAAACTTCATCCCAAACCCTCAGGATACAGGCTCTGATATCTTCAAGAAGGACAGAAATCTTTTAATCGAATATCTTAACATCCACCTTAAAGTTACAGTTGGAAATTATACCTACACGCCAGGGTCTTTGTTAAACACAATGAATAAGGAATCCCATTTAATTGAGATTGAAATGAATTCCGAGTTTACTGAATTTAACCGGGAAAAACTTCTTGACCATGTCTTCAATGAATCCGGAATTGATCCATCATCCTTCTTTCCAATCAACACCGTTCACTTTACGGAAGAAGCTAGCAAAGCTGCCAGTATTGTCACTTATGGTTATATTGAAATTGACTCAGGAAAATCCCTTCCACTCTTCAATGACAAAAATTTCCGCTCCAGAGTCATCACGAAATGCGTCCACTGCACTGCATGTGGTTCCCGTGAACACACTCGTTTTGACTGCAAGACGTCATCTTGTGCCATTTGCAAGAAATTATCCCATAGGGCAAAAGATTGTTATTTCAAAAAGCAACAAAGAGCACCTATTGTGAATCCGGAAGATCCAGAAAAACACTCTCCGAAACAAAATTCTGGAAAAGCAGTCAAACCAAACCACAAATTAAACTATGGTTTTCAGACTGTCGAAAAAAGAAAAATAAAACTGAATAAACCGGCTACTCCAGAATATTCTAAACCACATTCAAACCCTTTCGACTAATTGGCAAATGAAGAAGAAAATGTTGATGATTCAATTATTGATGAGGACGATACTTTGGAAAAGAACTACCCATCCAATGAGGAAGATGCTTTAGAGGAAGGCCTCTCTACTGATGCAGACCAATCCATGGATGAACTCGAAACCTCTACAACCCAACACACTGCTACTCTCAGACATCAAACCAAACCAATAGAATTATTGTCCAAGAAAGGTAAATCTAAGAAGCACGCCAAGTTCGCGGCCATTAGCGCCATCAAGCTGGCCCATATTAGCAAGGTCTCCAAAAAGATCCTCGCCTCACCTTCATCCCACCCTCAGGTCCGTGTTTCTCGCAGACATCAAGAAGTAAACTCACAACATCATACTACTTCTTCTGCTGCCAACATTCCTCCTTCACCTACCCCTGCCCGTGATACTGTCACTTCCTCGGCTCTGGCCACTTCTTCTATCCCTGCTTCTGCCCCTGCTGTTGTAGTTTTGTAACTCTAGTTACAAAAGACATTGATAACAATAATATTCAATAATATTTATTCCCTTGTTATACTTGTTTTACTTGTTAACTATCTAAATTATATAAAGGACAAACTCAGACTATGGGGGGCATGGCCCATATTTATATTAATCTCAATGGGTTCTAGAAGGTTCCATAAGCTCTAGAAGGTTCCATAAGTTCTAGAAGGTTCCATAAGTTCTAGAAGGTTCCATGAACAATGACTAACCACATAACTTTGGATTGCCAACTCAACACCCTCTCTCAATTCAAAGTCTCCATACCACAGAGCCTTCTCAACTCCAAGAATTGAGGGGCAGCAAGACCTTTTGTAAACATATCGGCAATCATAACACCAGTGCTCAAGTACTCCAAATTGATAGAGCCAGATCCAATGTGGTCCCTGATAAAGTGAGTCCTGATGTCAATGTGTTTGGTGCGATGATGGAAAGCTGGATGCTTTGCCATCTCAATACACCCTTGGTTATCATCAAACATCCTCACTGGACCAGTATTGATCCCAAATTCCTTGAACACTTGCATTAGCCATAATGCTTCCTTGACTCCTTCACTTAGTGACATGTATTCAACCTCTGCCGTAGAAAGAGCAACAGTAGCTTGCTTCTTAGATCTCCATGTGATTGCACCATTGGCATATTTGAACACAAACCCAGTAGTAGACTTTCTGTCTGACTTATCTCCAGCCCAGTCAGCATCACAGTATCCAAGAAGCTCACCGTTATCATTATTGCCAGCCTCATATCTTATTCCCAAATCTTTGGTTCCTTTCAAGTATCTTAAAACTCTCTTTGCTGCCTTATAATGCACCTCCTTTGGTTCCTTGAGGTATCTGGATAGAACACCGACGATATAGCTGATATCGCTTCTAACAGTATTAGCAGCAAACAATAATTTTCCAACCAAAGATCTGTAAGCTGTGGCATCACAATCCTCAGCACTGTTGTCCACCAAGGTGAGCTCCTGACCAGCAATAGTAGGCGTCTTATCTGGGTTGCAATTCTCCATTCCAAATTCCTTTAACATAGAGCCAATATAGTCTTTCAAGCTCATGTTAATACCTCCATTATCTTGCGAGATATTGATACCCAAAAATTTCCTGACTATTCCCAAGTCCTTCATCTTGAAGACATTCATCAATTCACTTTTCACTTTCCTGATGGCAAAATCTGAGGTACCAGTTATCAATAAATCATCAACGTAAAGCGCAACCATCACAAAAGACTTTTCGGATTTCCTTGAATATAGACAATATTCAGCACCGTTTCTGACAAAACCAAGCGACGACAAAACACTGTGGATTCTTTCATTCCACACCAAGGGAGCCTGTTTCAAACCATACAAGCTTTTCTTCAATCTCAAGACACTGGTTTCCCTTCCTTTAACCACATACCCTTCTGGTTGAGTCATGTATAATTCTTCCTGAAGAGATCCGTTGAGGAATGCAGTTTTCACATCCATCTGATGAACTGCCATTCCATTCTTAGCTGCAATACTCAACATCAACCTGATAGATTCATAACGCACCACAGGTGAGAATGTCTCATTGTAGTCAATACCTTTCACCTGTGTGAATCCTCGAGCAACAAGTCTTCCCTTGAAGACTCCGTTATCTTTCTTTGCAAAGACCCAACGACATGTAATTGGCTTTCTTCCTTTCGGCAACTCGACCAATTCATAAGTGGAATTCTCCTTGTGAGCCGCAATTTCTTCGTCACAAGCGCGCTTCCATTCTGCACTTTCGTTGCTCTTCATGGCTTCCTTATAATTTCCAGGAACATCACTTCCACCAGCCAAAGCAGCAGCTTCACCAGCCATAAAACAAGAGGCAACATAATTCACAGGTTTGTACTCTAACAACTTGCCTTCGGCATCATCATTCAGTTCTGATTCCTCATCACAATCACTTGGCTGTTCAACATGTGGCTCAATTTCCGAAACCACCAAGTTGTCATTGCTACTACCATTAGGAACAAAAGAAGTAAGCTCTTTTGAGCTACTGTCGTTTCTGTATTTCTTCCTTTGTGGTTTCTCAATAGCAATTTCCCTCTCTGAATCTGAACTGAATGTATCAGATTCTTGTTCAACTTCTGCCAAGATCCCAAATGGATTTCTTTTAATCAAACCTGTACTTTTCTTGGGTCTAGAACCCGATGATCTTTTCCTTTTTGTAGCAGTAACCAACTTGAACTCTTCTGAAACCATCCTTGATGGGATTAACTCTCCAGTGGCATCCTCATCATCGTCTATGATTCTCATTTCCACGTCTTTGCTTGAGGAAACAGTGGACTCTCTTTCTGAATCATCCAAATCGGAAACCATTCGTTCATCATCAACCGAGATCTCACTTGCAACATCCTCTAAGTCTGGATCACTTATAACAGGGCCTGGTGCAACGCCACCAGCAAAACCCATACCACCAGAGCTGCTTACCTTAGCAATCTCGGTATCCACATCAGTGACTCGCTTCACATCCTGATAGTAATATCTTGACTCATCAAATCTGACCTGAGTCGCCACAATAATCTTGTTGGCAGCAGGATCAAAAATTCTGTACGCACAGTGATCTCTATCATACCCGAGCATCACTCCAACCTTGGCGGTAGCATCAAATTTTCCATTTCTCAAACTGTTTGGTATAACCACATATGCAAGGGAACCAAAGCAGCGAAGATGGTCAAGGCCCGGCTTGTATCCATACCAACGACCATATGGTGTGTGGAAATTAATAACGCGGGATGGCGTCCTGTTAATCAAATAAACAGCCGTGCGGACACCTTCAGACCAAAACTGAACCGGCATAGAAGCCCCAATAATTAAAGACCTAGTTTTGTCTTGAATTGTCCGATGCATTCTTTCAGCAACACCATTTTGATAACTATGGTGTGGCACAGTCAACTCATGGGCAATACCTTTGCTTCTCATGAAATCATGCAACTTTCCTGTAACAAATTCACCACCATTATCAGTGCGGATAGTTCCCACGGTAAACTCTTTTCCCCGAGACTTGAACATTGTTTCGGTGTATGTAATAAACTCAATAATCCTGTCAGCACACTCTGACTTGTTTTTCAAACACTTGACCTCCACAAACTTGGAATACCCGTCGACAATAGTGAGAAAATATTTGCTCGAATCAATAGACCCATAATTGATTGGGCCACACACGTCCATATGCAACAATTGTAAAGGCTGTTGTGGTTTAGCACCCTTCCCGCTCTTTGGTCTTCTGGTAACCCCTTTACTTGTCAAGCAGCTTTCACATAACTGCACAGAATCTTCACTGTAAAGTTTACCTTTCACCAAATGAAACATCAGATTGAACTTGTTCATAATATTCATACTGGGATGGCCTAATCTCTGGTGCCACAACCCGCTCTTATCAACACTGTTAAATGCCACACCATCGACACTGGTGTGCAAAGCATAAAGATCACTCATAACTGGATCTTTAACAGCAACCACTTTCTTTTCAGGGTACATTTTCACCTTGTTTCCTTCAAATAATAATCTTGCACCATTCAGAGTAGCCTTGGAAACAGAAATCAAATTGGCCTTTGACCCTGGAACATAATAAGCATCCTTGATTTCGATACTGGTGTTATCACGTAACTTAAACACCGCAGACCCGATACCTTGAACCTCGAGAGAACTACCATCAATACCTGAGATCTCACCAGAAAAAGGACCAATGGTTTTAAACATCTTTCTGTCATTCAAAATATGTTGCGAGGCACCAGAGTCAAAGTACACTCTGGAGGCCCTACCATGCATTCCCATAAATGCATACCAAGATGGTGATGGATTCTTCAGATCACCACCCATTCTCTCCTTTCTAGGAGCCTTGCAATCCTTCTTGAAATGACCGGGTTTTCCACAATTGAAGCACTTGTACTGTTTCTTAAAAGCAAACACAGGTTCCAAACCCTCAACACTGGTGGAACCAACCGATTTATCTCCAATGATTTCTCTTGTCAAATCTTGGACAAGCCCAATATCAACATTTCCAATAGTCCTGCCATTTCTAGACTCATACGCAGTCATGACTTCCCTGGAAAGATTTGCATTAAACCCGGCTTTCTGACCCAAGCTCAAAAACAACGCACACAACACAGTGTTTCCGTCTAATTTGCCAACAGTATTCTTGAAGTGATTGAAGGCATCAATGAAATTCTCAACGTTTCCGTTGCTAGATTTCAACCACTTAGCGTCAATTAAATCTGAGATAATACCAACAGCATTTGTAACAGTCAATGTACCATAAGCATCCTTGAGAAACATAAACAAGTTTCTACCAGTACCATCAAATTCGGAAGCCTTAGTCAAAGCAGCGCCTGAGATGCTGTTGAAAATGGCTGTTGAAATAATCTCATCCATAGTAGCAATCAATTGGGCAACTTCATTAGCAGTTTCCAGCCCGTCGGTTCCGGTTTCCCCATTGATCAAGTAAGCATGTAAACCAAGACCTTTCATCTTCATCTTAACACTGATC